CTCATAAGTGGTTTTTAAACATAAAGCAAAGAAAACCAGCCCACAAATCACAATTCCAGAGAACCTAGACAACAATGAGGACCCTAAGAGAGTCATACATGAATCTAATCTACATGGCAAGTAGAAAAAGACAAGATCTCCTGAGTAAATTGAGAGAGGACTGAAGGGGACGGGAGAGGCAGGGAGGGGAAGGGAGAGGCAGGGAGGGGAGCAGAGAAAAATGTAGAGCTCAATAAAAAAAATCAATAAAATAAAGATATCCCCAAAGTTAAACAAGAAGAAGAAGAAGAAGAAGAAGAAGAAGAAGAAGAAGAAGAAGAAGAAAGAAAGAAAGAAAGAAAGAAAGAAAGAAAGAAAGAAAGAAAGAAAGAAAGAAAAGAAACATTGCCACACAAAGAACCATAAGCATACAGGTCAGGGCCCAAAGTTAGAGCACAGGCAGGGATGGGCAGGGGAATGTATCAGGAACTGGCACCGAGAGGAACGTCAGCGCTTTCCCACTGTCTTTCTCAGAAAACAGCTGAGCGTCCCTTCCTGGAAACTCTGTCCCTGGAGAAGGAGCTTCTGGGAAGGCTGCGTGTGGCCAGGCCTGCGGGGAGCCCCTCTGGGAGCAGAGGCAACTGTGCTGCCTTTCTTCCAGGGCTTTTAGGAAAGTCTGTCTTCTCCAGGCAGACGCTTCCAAGGGATGCTGGTCAACTCCAAGACAAAGTGATCAGTATGATCAAAACAAAAGTTAAAAAAATTTAAAGTAAAACTAAATAAGCAACAGTAACAAGGACAACAACAAAAATCTTTGTGTGCACAATGCCAGAGGAAGGAAGGTCAAACAAGTGTCCAGCAGACAGCGGGACCTTTGAGAGTCTCATCTCAGAGAACATGCCTCATTCGAGGCTGCAGTACCCCAGGAGCATGAACTGAAGCATGTGAACAAAAGAGGGATACAATATGGTCCCAGGAATCAAGAGTCATGGTGTTGCACCTGGTGCCCTGGTCAGGGAGAAGTTCTACCCTTCTAGGTAATGAAAATCACAGCTGCCCTGGACAGCATTCAGGTGTGAGCAAGAAGCACAGCATGGACAAGGAATGGGCTGGGCTGTCACAGGGCCCAGGAAGAACCTGGACACCGTCACTCACAACAGTGACATCCACTCATTCGCACATCTGCAAAGTGCCTACTGTGGGGGACAAATCAATGATGAATTCATGGGGATCTCGTTAGGATGGGAAGGGAGAGACATGCAGAAACACTGAAGGGAAATCTGCCTGTGTTGGCATCTGGAAAGTTCCCTGAAGAAGAAAGAGATAGACCTGGTGGAGTCCAAAGCTCAGGTGGCCTTCCAGTGAGAGGGGACAGCAGAAGCAGAGGCCCGGGGCCGGGGAGGAGAAGGGTGAGCATGACGGAAATGCAGTGGACCCTAAACCCCTGGCATGGAGGTGATACATCTGTAAAAGAGGGTGACTTTTCTAGGCACATTCACTAGGATACGGCAGAGTGCTAGCCTCTGGGTTTTCCAGAACCATCCTGCAGCAGGTAGAGGAAGAACTTCCCAGCACCCTACAACCTTGCACGGCAAGAGCACTGGACCTGCCTGAGCAAGCAGCTGCCAAATGGCCTTTTCATCTGGTCACAGGATCTCACAAGGATGACCTTCTACCAACGCTGCAAAAGCAAAAAGGAGAAACTTCAAAATCCTTCAGCAGGTTTGGCCAGCTAGACTATGGGATGCCCACCCCAGGGAGCACAAGTCTGCTCTTTAATAGATCAGTGGGTAAGGCCACATGGAAACATCTCTAAGGTGCTTTGTCACATGCAAAGTGAAACACCATTGCAGCAGACGACCCGTTGTTGAAATGTGCAAGGTTGCGCAGGGTGCTTGGAAAGGTGAACCCAACTGGAAACTTCCTGCTCGTGGGTCACAAAACAAGGGTGTCAGGCAGAGGGGAAGGTCTAGAGACCTTAATGAATTCCTACTTAATGAATTCTCTTACTTCATTACTCCTTAATGAATTCCTCATAAATTACCAACTGTGTGTGTATGTGTGTGTGTGTGTGTGTGTGTGTGTGTGTGTGTGTGTGTACACACATGTGCAATGCACATTCATGTATGTATGAGAGTGAAGATCAGAACTCAGTGTCAGGGATTTTTCCTAAGCTTGTATGTATTTAAACCTGGGCACCGTCTCTGTGTCCCACAGCTAGATTCCAGACACAAGCTGCCATATCAGCTCTTTATAGGGCTGTAGAGATCCGAACCTCCTGCTTACATATCAAGACTGTGAAATAGCCGGGAGGCTCGTGTGTGGAAGCACTTGATCAAATTTTCAGAGACTGTGGGACTAGATGGAGTTTAGCAGGAGGAAGTAGGTGACTGGGTGGAGGTGGGGGCCTCTCTCCTTCCTGATCATCCATGCCCGTAAGCAGTCATTTCAAACTCACTAGCACAGTCACAAACCTCTCCTGTGCCACCATGATGGATCATGTCCCCTTGACCTGTGAGCCAATAAATCTTTGCTCCTTTTGGTTGCTTCATCCAAGTTCTTTTTAGATTTATTTTAGTTACATGAGTGTTTGCCTAAATGTATGTAAGTGCACTATATGCATGTCTGGTGCCCTCAAAGATCAAAAGGCATCGGGTTCCCTGGACCTGGAGTTACAGGTGTTTGTAGCCACCATTGGGTGTTGGGAACATAATCTGGGCCCTCTGTGAGAACAAGTGCTGGGAATCACTGAACGATCTCCCTAGCCCATTCCCTGGTGACATAAAAAGCAACCCATATCGTAAAATAAGACTTTTTGTACAAGTCTAAAAAGGTTGGTATTTTTAACTAATAAATAAAACTCATTCTCTAAAGCCAGACTTAGCTCTGCGGCTTTGCACTGAGGACACTGGTAAGCCATTTCACCTCTAAGTCTGTTTCTTCTTCTGTTGGATGAGGGGCAAAACTGGTAACAGTTAGGTAGGGAGGGGATGAAAACAAGACATTCATGCTTTAAGGCAGCACATCACACGTGGACAGTGACAACCACTCAGTCACTGCCAGCTTCACAACCTGTGCAGGAGGCTAACGGTCTTCATCCTGCACATGAGGATGAGACAGAAGCTGCTCTCTGTAATAGCATCCACATCGTTAGTGGACACCTAATGTTCTTCCAGCATAAAGGCCACTACCCAGGTTCAGACTGACCCTTTGCTAAAATGAGCCACTGCTAATTTCCTGTCTGTCTGTGTCCTCTCTCCAGTCAGTTCTGAAAGTCTGAAACACTCAGAGCTAGCTACAGAAGTAAGATCATCATGAAGACCTGCCCTGTTCACAGGAGACAGAGGTCAGCATCTGGGCATCTGGACTCACCACCCACTGTCTTTCCTTAGTCACAGGGCTACAAAGGCATCAAGAGGAGGAGTCACTGACCTAATGGTAAAGCAAGGTAACTGATCTAGGGGATAATAGCACATGGCTCTGCCATCACCAAGAGAGACAGCAGAATTTGTGGAACTGCCGACAGGAAACAGTTCAACCAGAGCTACACCATCAGTGAAATGAAACTGATCCCAAGTATCTAGACTCAAATGCTAGCTTAAGGAAAATAGAAACAGGAGGAGCATGTCAAACAGCTCTACCCGGAGATGCCATCAAGTAAACCCAAGAGTAAAAATCCAAGATGGAAAGCTCATGTTCTCCGCACACTGCAGGGAAAGAGAGATGAGGAAGGCCCCAACAGCAGTAAAGAGAAGACAGCATGGTGGATGGGGAAGGCTGACAAAGGAAGAAAGGGTTAAAATTTTATTTCCAGTAGAGAGGATGACCAATCTCCAGAGCCAAACTGCTAGGATGTCTGCAAAACACATGAAGGTACACTCCTGAAATGTCTGCCTAAAATGGTTGGAATGATTTAGCTACATCTTACCATCACTGTTAAGTTATGAGAAAGAAACCTAGGAGACAATTAATAAATTACAATGTCTGAGCCTCATGTGTATCACAGATTTTAAAATTGAGACAGTTGGACACTTGAACACCAATATTTGCTGCAATAAAGGATTTAGTGGAGGTAAGGAGTAAGAAGGGTATGGCATTTGTATTTTTACTTTTAGACATATATAGTGATGTCCAAAGATTAAATAGTATTTGACTCCCATACACAGAGGAGGAAACAGGACATGGTAAATTGAAATAGAACTGGCTACGGCTGGGGAAAGGACACTTGAGAGTGCATACCACTTACCTGCTAATCCTTGGAACGCAGAGTTCTGCACGAAAAGATTTTAAATGAAGATGATGTTATGATGTACGTGCATGGAAAGACCAGCATCCAAATTCCTACATCACAGCCCGCAATGATATGATACAGGAAACAAGTGAATGTCTAAAGGACATGACTGATGATAGGCTGTGTTTCATCAGAAACAGAATGATGGGGCCAAGGAAATGACCCAATGAGCAGTTCTCAACCAGGGGTGCCTGAGGGAGATGAAATTACTACCTCCTATGGAGTGGAAAGCAGGAATTCCAGAATTCCCAGGTTGTCCCATAACAAACAATTACAAGAATATCAACAGAGTGAGTGGAAAGGCCTATAACTCAGCCTATATGGGATGCTCCTCAAACCAAACTACTGAACAAAGTCAAGCAAAAAGAAGCAGCAAAGAGATCTATCTGTACCAGCAGACCACATGGGTACAAGACACAAAACCAACCCTGCTTCCTGACTGGAGATCTGTCCACATGGCAGATCACAGACATGCACTGTGGAGGGAGCATGGCATGTTTCTTCTGCCCAGCACACGTGGACATAGAGAGGTTGGAGAGAGTACACTCTACACGGTGCGCAGGACGATCTCTTTCATTCCGTGCCTGCACTTTCCTGCATCATCGACACCATCAGGAATGAACTGACACAGCTGCAAGGCTTGAGTCACAGAGGCCTGATGCCCACAGTGAAGGCGGGCAGAGGCAGATGGCAGGGCAAAGACCTGCCTGGTGGGGTGGGGAGCACTTACAGGACCTCGGAGGTCGATCAGCTCTTGCCTCATCTGGGACACCAGGGCTTCTTTGGCCACCAGGGCCCGGTGTAGACGCTCATTGAACTCAATCAGCTCCCCATGCATCTCAGCCACCTGAAACAGACAGGAAGGAGCAGCCCTTGTAATTCAGTGGTAGAGTGACTGCCATGAGACCCTAGCTTCAATACTAGCAGTGCAAAGATAAATTAATAATAATGATTATTATAATATTATTATAAGTAATAATTATGATGATGCCCCAGCTAGAGATGCAATGGAATACATGCCATTCTATTCATTGAGTCCTTGGTTTCAAGTGAGAAAAGGGAAACAGGTTCTTTTCCTAACCATGGTGACACACTCAGCAGCACCACTATAACCACAGTGACACACACTCAGTAGCACCACTGTAACCACGGTGATACACTCAGCAGCACCACTGTAACCACGGTGACACACACTCAGCAGCA